CGGGGCGGGGCGGCGAGGGTCCCACGGCCTCGGCCGGCTAGGTGGTCAACGTCGTCGGCGTCGTCCATCGTCGGGTTCCTCGGGCGCCCCCAAATAACATTCCAGTGATGGATCACTCGTGGCGCCGCTTGTCCTGCCCGGCCGGCCCAGCCCATCCCTCGCCGGAGCCTCCAGGCGCCTCCAGGCGTCCCCATGGAGCGCGCGGGACACCGAGGACGCCGCTCCCACAGCCAGGCCTTGAAGGGTGGCCCGCGAGGATCCCCGTCGTACGCCTACAGGGCTGCGCGCCGGGTGTCCCGGGCGCGAAAGAATTCCAGGGCTCTTCCATCCCACTTCTACTACTTGTTGTTGTTGCCCAGCTCCCAGCTCCAGCCGGGCCGGGCCGGGCCGGGCGGGCCACGCATAAACTGTGATTCCAGCGGTGACAAATCGTCCGCGACGCGCCGTGCCGTACACTGCGTGCCTCGGCGAACCGGCGCACAATTTATGATGACTTTATAGTGGGCCTTGCCTGCGTGTGTGTGTGTGTGTATATGTGTGTGTGACAGAGAGAGACAGAGACAGAGAGCGAGAGAGACGAAGGGCGAGAGAGAGACTGGGAAGGGCACACGGCGCGCGCACACGTATCGCGTAATTCGTCAGTAGCAGAAGGCAGCAGCATTTGTCCGGCCAGGCGGCCAACGCGGACACTCTCATGCTGCGGGTGAGGGAGGGAGGGGGAGAGCGGTGGCGCGCTATTATATAGAGTTTCGTGTTGCATCTCTCCCTCGCATTCTCCGCATCCACCTCGCCCGCCCCGCCGGAGCAGTAGTGCCGCCGTCTCTCCATCTCGTCTCTCCTTCTCACTCACCTGCGCCACTGCCCCGTGCCGTGCAGCTCCACTTGTCTGCGCCGCGACGCTTGCGGACGATTCATTAGTTCTGCCCTTCCCCTCCCCCCCCCCTTTTCCTCCCAGCCTCGGTGGCGCTCTTCTCTTCTCGGTGTGCGCTGCGTTGCAGCTCGGACTGACGCGGCGGGACTCTATTTTTTTGTCCCTCCCCAAAGCGGGTTGAAAGGGGGTTCATAAAGCTGGCGAGCCGAGCTGCCGAGCTGGCCGCCGCCGCTAGAGAGGGCCGCCACTTTGTCCGCGTCTTGTCGCGCGGCGTGCCTTGTGATGTCGCGAGATGTTCTCTCTCTCTTTGTCTCTGTGTCTCTCGTCTCTCTCTCTCTCACGCGCGCGCACGCATTGTCTCTCTTCCTCTCATCCTCCCCTCGCCCGCTTTTGTAATTGACCCTAGAAGGCATTCCGAAATGGAACAAGTGTAATTGATATTGGGTACTTGCCGTGCCGGCCGTGTCATGTGATCGAGGCGGAGGGAGGAGGAGGGGAGGGGGTGGTACGCGATACCTTCCGTGGGGCGAGGGGGAGGAAGGGGAGGGGGGGGGGTCGCCCCCGGCTCCAGTAACTCCTCTGCGCCTCTGCGGCCGGTGCACCCGAGGGGGAGCGCGCGGTGCGGGACGGAGCGCCGGCGCGGTAGGCAATCTGTGCGGCTGGCGCGCAGCGGAGCGCGGCGGGGCTGCCTACCCGGGCGCTCTGCAGGCGCTCCGCACAGAGACACTGCAGGAGGGCGCCCCGCCCCGCCTCGCGGTACTTTACGCCGTCATCAGCGCCGCACTGGCGCGGTAGGGCACGGCACAGCACGCCCGGCCCGGCCTCGCTGTGCCGCTTTAAAATATGTTTGTTAAATGTCGCCGGGGACTTTTATTTTAGTGATATTTCTCTGCAGCCCGGCCCGGCCCGGAGGGGGAGGAGTGGGGGGGCTCCTCTTCTCTGATGCTGCGGCTGCTGAAATATGTCGCCCCTTCGCTTTTACGATCTGTGTGCTCTTTTGCATGTTGGGCTCGAAGAGGTGAGAGGGAGAGCCAGAGAGAGAGAGAGAGAGAGAGAGAGAGAGAGAGAGAGAGAGAGAGAGAGCGGGAGGGGGGGGGGGGGGGGGGGAGGACTGTCGATACCTCTCTGTCTTTATTGCCGAAGGAACCATGTCTTCGGGGACGGGTGGGGGGCGCCCGGGAGGGACTTGGAGCCGCGCCAGATGAGTGCTAGACATTGTCACCGGGCGCGTCGCTAAGACACATCTTGTCTGATTGCAGGGTGCGGAGAGGAAGACCCGGGACGAGGAGAGGAGAGCGGCCAAGCGGAAGATGACGGCGACGGGGCGCAAGAAGCTGGACGAGCTGTACCACCCCGCGGCCGAGCGCACCGACTTCTACCACATGGCGGACCTCCACAAGCCGCCCGTGCTCTTCAGTCCCAGCGAGGAGGTAAGGCCGTCACCGGCGCGCTGCGTAGCGCTCGGTATGTGTGTTGTGTGTGTTGGATCATATTTTTACGACTGCCGTTTTTTTTCTTTATCCCCAGCTAACGTCTATGGAGTTACAAGGATTTTACGGTCACGACACGGATAACTCGAGGTAGGTCCTTCACAGAGCTTTTTTTTTTATGAGCATCTCAACTATATTGCCCTTTTCACATCAGCATCATATCATGAACTTCTCCTTATTTCCCTGTCTTTGCTTGATGCATGTTTGGGACTCGCGATGGCTCGCAAATGCAATGAATATGTGATAAAGGAATTTTCTAGAAATCGAATTCTGTGTAAAAAAAAAAGCTGATAACATTTTTAAAGTCGCTGGTATCTACTGTGACATATTTGTAGCTGTCAACAAGTTTATGGCGTCGTTTTATTAAGATGTCCGGATCAACCTTTTTTTTTATTAAAAAGAAAAAATATATTAAAGTTTTATGCTGGATCCCAGCGGTGGGACTGATATGGATCCACCGGGTTCACAAGACTCTTTCTCGCTGTTTGGCAGTACTTACTCAGCTCTGCTGACTGACAAACGTTTATAGTCCTTTTATTTGTTTATCTACATTTATTTTTTTTATTTTTATTTTTCGGTTGTCGTTATTCTGACTGCTGGCACGGCGTTGCTCGGCCTTGGGACTGGGTGCTTGTTGCTCACTCTTTCTCTCTCTCTTCTGTCACAGCGTGTCCAACGGGGAAGGCGGCCTGAAGAGCGCCACTGGCGGTGGCTCTCCCTTTCTGCTGCACTCCACCAAGCCCCTTGCGCACCAGACCCTCAAGTTTCACAATCACTTCCCACCAGATGCGCCAGGGTGAGTCATGGTCACCCCAACCCCCACCACAACCCCAACTCCAGCCACCCTCTCGCCGCGAAACCCACATCAGTAGCGTTTCTGCTGCGGAAGCGCCGGTGCTGCTTTTTTTGCCGTTTCACTTTATCGGTTGGGCCTGCGACGTGTACTTCCCGGGGAATCTTCTTTTTTCTACTTTTGTTTTCTTACTTGCATGTTCTCTTTCTTTCCCACGGCTTTGAACCAGTCTCGCCCCACTTTCGCGATGGTTTTCAAAAGTGATAAAAATAATGTTCAGGAACATGAATTCATCTGACTACATCTGCCCCTACCCCTGGGCTAGATTGACTGTAAGGAGGACAGCAACTCGCCGCTGCGCTGCGATTGGCCGTCTTCCTCCGCTATCAGCCTCCCTCCAATTCCTAACTGTTTCCATTTCTTGTTGATTGCAGTATCAAGAAGGAGCACTCGATGGAGACGGAGCCGTTGTCGACGGACGGTGGTCTGTTCAGCTCGCCGGCGCTCAAGAGGCCGCGGCTGCTCGGGCCGCCCGGGACTCCCCTGGGGATGGGCTCGCCGGGGGCGCCGCAGCTGCACCACGGCCTCGGCCCCGCGCCCGGCCACGCCCCCAGCCACGCGCCCCTCATGGGGCACCCCGGCCATCCCGCCACCCCGCCGCTCGCGGAGCGGGTCATGCTGTACGTGCGGCAGGACCCCGAGGACGTGTACACCCCTCTGCACGTCGTCCCCCCCACCGCCCAGGGCCTACTCAACGCGGTAAGCAGCCAAATCATTCACCCTCATTGTACATATTTTTCTCATATATATGCTATATTTTTATTCGGTGGGAAGAGGAGAGAATTATATGAGTTCCTCCTACGGTGTGCAACATTCAAGGCCGGTGTCTGCCCACATGGTTTATGGTGGCAGTCCAAGGTTGATTTTTATTTTTTGCACTGCCTCTAAAAATAAATTATAAAAATCAAGATAAACACAGAGGAAACAAAATTTTGAATGAAGTGTTAGTGGTGGCCGCGACTCTTCAGATAAAGGCTTGAAGCAAAACCTACATGTAACTTTTACTAACACATATGGCCCTGCTGAATCTGTGGGGTCTGGATCCAGTGCATGTTGTCCGTGCAGTCTTCAATCTGTGTTGCATGGAATGTTGCGTGGGTTGTGGCTAACAATTGGCCCTATTTGCATGACTTGGGACCTACTTTCAAAATTTACAGAATTTAAACCAACAATTTTAAATGTAGATCTCATTTTTGGATTTTAAATATTGCTGGTTTTTGATTATTTTTCAAAACATTTGACAGAGATGTAGCATTAAACTAGGAAAGAGCCCAAGATTTGCATGGGTCCTATTGTTAGATTCACAATTCTTGGAAACATTCTTTAATGAGAGAATGTTCAGGAGAACTAATGCACACGTTCCTCTCCTTTTGTTTCCAGATTGAGAATAAGTACAAAATTTCCCCTTCAAGCATAAGTAACTTGTATCGAAAAAACAAAAAAGGGTAAGTTGAGCTGCAGGAGCGCTCATTCTTTTTTAGTTATCTTTTTCCTATTCTGAGTTGTGCACACAGGTTTCAAATAGTGATATTTACATTCACACTACTAACAGGGGTTGGATAAAGTGTATGTCTTTTGCCCTGTTTGGCTTTACATGTATAACATAACTCAGTAGAAATTATTTCCTTCATCTCGTATATTTTATATTGGTTTAATGCATGTAGGAGGGATAACTATCATATTGACAATTTCTGCATGAGGTCACAATAAACAAGGAGCACAGAAAACACCAAATTAATTTTGTGTTTAAAATATGTACTCGTTCTTTACTTCTTACCCTATCTCTTAGATATGAGGTAATTCAGAAACATTTATGATAAGTATTAAGAATGCAGTGGACTTATTTTAGAAATTTTTTCCAGTATTTTTCACAGTTCTCGTGCAACTGTGAACCCATCTGTTGTTTTTTTTGTTTTGTTTTTTTTGGTATACAGAGCTACTAATATCCCTAAATACTACTATTTTCATGCAAAACACACTGTCGTCATAGTACAGATATGAACATAAACTTTTGCAACGCAATGATATCCGAGTTAGTGGTGTGTATTTTTGTATGTGTATGAGGTTGTATTTTTTCTACTTTCTTTTTCAAACATAACTTTTCAAACATAACTTCACATAACATCACATCACATGCCTGTAAGAAAAATATTAGTGACAAACCCAATACATTGTCAATAATAAGGATTTGTGCATGAATTGTAAGGGCAATGCATGATTGTTCGTACCTTCATAAATGGTTAAAAAATTCCTAAGAAGCAATGAGGCAGACTATTCTGTGCTAGTAATAACAAAATGAAGAGCAAGACTGAATCACAGGATGATCCAAACATCTAGAAAATTTCACATTTTCCTGAAAATTGGTCTCTCCCCCATCTTTGAACAGCGCCTCACTAGACTAGACATTGTTGAGCTCATTCTTCTGTTTAAACGGCCGCGCACGAGTGTTGTCATTATTCTCCTACAGATAGCGCCACCCGGCTTGCCTAGCTAGCACCCCTTTTTTGGATTCGCTCCCGCAAATGACAGTGTGTTTTGCTTAAAAATAAGTGTTTTAAAAAGCTTTCCTAAAAAATATTTAAAAAAAAAATTGGCATTCATATTACATATACAAAGCATATTAGTAAATCTGTATAACAAAATAATGATGGGTTCACAAGGTTGCACGTATGCACTGAGAAACACTTAGAAAATTTTTCAAAAGGCCAAAATTTTTCTACTCATAACTCAAAAATACCTCTATTATGAAATGTGAGGCACAGTTCACTGAATAAAATGATCATACATTCATACTTGTACCTATCATATTCATAGAGATCAATTGATGTTTCTAAATTAAGCCACACCAAGGACAATACTCGTTCTTTTTACCTCATAGCATATGAGTAAAAGGCAGGTAAAGAACGAGTAAAAATATAAAGGAATCTTATTAAGATACTTAGCAGAATATAGACTTACATTACTTTGAATTATCATAGAGTGTCTTGTGATTTTGCTAGGTGCTGGATGCATGTTAAAAATATGTAGGAAAAATAGGCTTATATTTACTGCATACTTCTAATCCTTAATTTTGTAAATACTGGCATGTTATTTGGATGTTTAACTTAATACTTTAAAAGTCTCATATTTTTTTAAATCATAACCATTTTATTTTTTTCTTTGCAGGATTACGGTCAAAATTGATGATGAAATGGTTAAACATTACTGCAATGAAGATCTCTTCATCATGGAAATTAAACAAGACAGCCATACAGATGAAGAGGAATTGTATGAGGTCACTCTCATAGAGCTTCCCAATCCATGAAGAGAGTAAAACAGTGAGGTCCCGCTTGTAGCTGGAGTAGTGTGGACAATACCTGACATTTTCTTGTCAGATACACCAGCTACAAAGGAACTTCAAGCCTCGACAAGAAACCAACTGTAAGGACTGCAGGATCTTGTTGAGTGAAATGAGCGGCTGTGAAGAACGCAATTCAACTTGCTGGAGGAAAAGTTAAAGAAAGTGAAAAGTTGCGCTTCAGGTACCACCCTCATGAACATTCAATGTGAATGGGTATGCAAAGCATTGCCCTGGGACTCTGATTGTTTTGCTTGTGATTGTACTTGTGATTTCTGATGTATTGTAGGATTTTATTTTTTAATTTATTACATTCCATACAGAGGTTCTCTGTTATAAAATATTTTTTTTTAAAAGGCATGTTTAGCAAATGAAAGACATTGCTATTGTGCTCCAACAAATAAATGGTCTATGAGTTGCTCAGTGGTTGGTCACTTAAAATAGTCACATAATGCCTTGTTCTAAAACAAGTGATAAGTATTTCAGATTACTATTTAGATTATAAATAAAAACTGTATTAAATATGTCAAGCATAATCCTTCTTCAGGGTGAAGTGTGATCTCAAAATAAGTGGAAGTTCATTTTTGAGTGGGTTCATAGAACCTGTCACTCAACAGCAATCAAAAGCAATGATGTAGTGCAATAACTGAGGCTGTACAACGGGTCTAAGTTACATTCATTATGATGGTGCCCAAAGCCCTAAGTCATGCTTTGGGGCCCAAGCTCAACGTGGAACAAGACTGCGTGCCGGTAGCATTCGCTCAAAACTTTGTCTTTGTGATAAAAAAAAGACATATGATAGGCTAAATATCTGAGTTAAGTGTGTCTCAATTGGCTCAGATATGCTCAATCTCAAGTATCCACGCCATAATACCTGCAGGGATTCTGAGGTGGGGAGACTGTTGTACCATGAGTGTCCACTATGCTCTTGTACAGTAAGTGTCTAATTTATTTCAGTAGTGTTCTTTGTTTTGTTTTCTGAACAAGTTATCACAGAATGTTATTTTTTTTAAATATCAATTGTTAACAGTTTTATAACAAGCTACTTTTGTAAAAAGAATGTTGTTTTTGTAAGTATGTAAATGAAATGAATCTCTCTCTATCGTCTTTACAGAAAGATCTATATATTTTATATTTCTATATTCTCGTAGAATTTCTAAAACAAGCTGTCTTTGCAGTGAGTCAAATGTGCCAAAAATATTAAATTAGAGCAGCATTCTTAAAGGCATTGCCTTTAAATTAATAAAGTTTTGATTTACTAAAAACCATTAAAAATGGTGCCGTAAACAGTTAGAACTATAAATTTGGATTCCTGTATTGGGAATGCATTGCAATTTGCAGTGAACTGAAATCAAACATATTCTGCCATAATGTTATAGACTGCAGTGGCCGTGTAGGTTTAAGTGAGCAGGCAACATGACGGAAAGCGTGGTACAAAAAAAGTCGTGGCTGACCGTCTGTTCAGCCTAGCAACCAAAATGTACAAATTATAGAGGTATTATAGCCTTAACAAATTAACAACCACATTTTCAGAAATTAAAGAAACATCCCACTGTATGTATTGCATTGTTGTAAATAGATATTATTTTGAGTACAAATAGAAACCTATCTTGCTTGAAGAGATGCATCAAGAAAGGTATGCACAACCCATATTTTTGTACTCAATGTGTGATAGGAAAATTTGTCTATCAATATATTCATGCCAGGAATTTTAACTCATAAGTTCTTGAATTCACTTGAATGTTGTGCTTTGTTTCTATACAAAAGTTTTATATAAATAGTGTTTGTAGGAGAAAGTCGGCTCTTAACTGTGGAGTCGCCATGGCACTTAAAGGCCAGCCATGTATCATAGTAGTTATGTTGTGGTATTTTGGACACCTTCGAGTTGCTTTATGTTACTTTTTTTAAATAATGTACTATTATAGTTATGTTTTGTGCCAAACTGTTCTGGTGCAAAATAAAAATTTATATTATGTATTACACATCTAAAAGATTAATTTACCCAAACCTGCTCCTGCCACAGATGTCCTCTCTTACTGAGAATTATTAGTATAATGGACCCCCCGTATACATAATTCACTTGGCTGTGAAAAAACAAACAAGACATCTCACGTCTTCATGAAAAGACAAGACTACTTCTTGTTTCTTGAATGAGCTAGAGTCGTAAATTGGCTCTAAAATAAACCAGCCTGGTACGTAGGCAACACATTTCTCACACCGCGTTCTGAAATTACGGTTTAGTCGAGTTTCTTACATGAATTCAGAAAGAAAAAGTTAATTAGAAAGACTTAATAAAATTGTCTCACTACAATGCCCTTAAAATCGGGTTAAGGTAGAGTCTACATTCGGTTTCAAATTTAAAATAAAAACCGGTTGAAGTTGAATTAGCGCGCGCTCGAGTAAACTGAGTGGTCAAATTTTTCATACCGTGCTACCCGTAAACCGAAAAGCGCGGGAGCGTATTCTTCGAAAAAATTTGGCTTTGGCATTGGCCTGTTGTTTAGGCTTGTAACTTTGGTTGTCTATTACTTCCCTTTTCTAGTATTGTCATTCTATTCTTAGCTTCGGAAATATTAATTTACATGGTGAGATTTCTTTTGCGCAGTAATATGACTATGACATTTGAGCAAATTGTCTTGTCGCAAGATGCACCTGTCAAATTGTTGGTTAGGGGGTTAGGGATATCAGAAACGTTTTGAAAACCAAATTGCAAACTTACCCATGGAAAGTAGAATGTCCATCTAATAAGAATAACGAAGTTGTTATCTGCAGTCCCCTGACTGCGGTTTGCTTCGGAGTTTGATAAGGATGATCTCTTCGGATCGAGGGCAAACTTTCATTGTCAGACCAGACCACCATGCTTGGATCGTTTGTTTGACATGGTGAGTACAATTTCATGTGGAGAGGGGTTCCAGTTTTGCTGAGTATGACAATATTTATTTTTATCAAGTCTCACACTTAAATATTTGTATTTATATCAGTAAGCATTCAACTAATCTTCTCTATGAAGCGCATTAACAATTTCTACCAGTTCTGATTTTGTGGTGTCATAAAGATATACTAATTCACTTACTTATCTTAAATAGCTCAGGCTCAGGTCCACCTTCTAGCTCTATGTTCAGATTTTTCTTTTATCTCTTTTTTGAATCGCTGGGTTGTTAGACGGCTGAGAGTCAGAGGACGTACCAACCTCTCGTACAAGGCCTAATCAGGTAAAAAGGTCATATCAGCGCCTAAAAAGGTCGTACGAAGGTATTTACTACAACTAAAAAGGTCTTATTTTGTACGACCTTCATACTGAATTTTAGGACGTACAAGAGGCAAAATGGTTGTAAAAGTATGACCAAGATCATACTTCTAACAACCTGCACTTTTTACTGTTTGAACCTCTGTTTGAAGACAGGTGGAAATATTCCAGTTTGTGCCAACTGAATGCTCTTTTTTGCATTAGTCCTGTAATGATAAAAATGTAAAGTAAATAATATGGAAACAGAGTTGCAATGCATGAATATTTATGGTATTCCACCTGTGAATATTGGATGATGAGTTGACATTGTTTGTCCTAGGCAGTGCTTTCGATGCATTGACACTTCAATGTTATACAGCTACCTGACATTTGAAGGAGTCCAGAGAGGTGTTGGTGTCACCGTGATATATGAGGACCAAAATTCTGTCTTTACTCTGTTGCAGAGAAACTGTCCAAGGGTTACGACATCAGCTTAGCAGCCTATGTGTCACCCGATGTATGCTGATTCGGCGTCACAGCTCACAGCATGAGAAATGGACCCTTTATCTCAAGTTCACAGGAATGAATCTGGTAAGTTTTGACTTTTTATGTAACATTAAGAGAAAATATTGATACATTATGGTACAGTCAGATTTTGGTAAAAGTCTATTTTGGTGTTTCTTTCTATTTGGCGGTTTCTTGTCATTTCTTTACTAATTCTATGCTCACTCCATATATACAGCCTTTTACTTGATCCTACAATATGTAGTCGTGTGTTGATTTTAGTGGAAGGGAAATAGAGGCAAATCATCTGAGTGTCACTTGCAGTAATACTGCTATTTATTTCATTTGTATGGTACAGTCATAGTAAAATAAGAAGTGATGCTAGTTCTTGTCCATAGGGATATGCCTGGACTTGATGCTGGCCACCTGTAACATAGAATTTGATTCGATGAGTTGGCATCACAGTGATACATATGGACCAGAAAACATTTGAGTTGAACTCTGAGATGATAATTTGAATTTAATTAATAATAGATTTTTTTCATTCTTTTTCAGGTATCCAGATAAGCCCCAAGTCACCAGCAGAAACAAGCCGGCTACTTGAGGAAGACTTACTCTTATAATGTAAATCATTTGAAACAATAAAGAATAGAAAATGACTACATCTGACATTTTACTTGATTTCATACACAGTTAGCTAGAAGCTGTGGTAACTGCGGA